ATTTTTTTTTTTTTTTTTTTTTTTTTTTTTTTTTTTTTTTAATATATGGAATAGTAACCATATTTCTTCTTTTTATGTCAAAAGTGCATATTGGGTATAAGTCATTTTAAGCTTTAGAGCATTGATGGCAATTTGATTTGACTTGGGTCAGGCATAAATACGTCTAGAAGGTCTATTGTTAAGATGAAAGTGTATTCCAATGGAGTGAAAATCACTGCACATTGTGAAATAGCTATGATGTGAACTTGTTGGAACCAGCTATTAATAAAATACCACCTCGCTGGTTTTTTTTTGTTTGTTTGTTTGTTTTTTGTTTTTTTTTTTTTTCAGAGAAGCAGTGAAGTGATGGTAACAGGGAGAAACTGTTGTATATACTTAGCTGTTTGTGGGAGCTGCCTTTTGGTCAACAGCTGAACCACTAGACTTCTCTGCAACATTGTAGCTAATGGTGTGATACACTGTTAAATAACAGCTCAGTTATGAATGAGGTTTCGGAATTATTGTACGTGTCGTAAGTCTCCATTCAGAAATTCATCTGAGTGCCTCTCTTTAAAAAAGTGATCTAATGCCATGTCTTGTGGGCAGGTAAATGATGGATGATGGGACTGTTAAGAAAATACCTTACAACTGACTTCAGGTCAAGTTCTGATAAATGTTACTCATGTGTTCCCACAGTGAAGAGAAACAGATAGGTTTTGGCTTTTAATTTGCTCTTTCACTGATTTTATCTAAATCGCTTCCAATTCACCATGTAGCACAAAGTCCTAGCTTGGTTTAAAGCAAGGAGAAATCACATACAGAAAAAGGTAATTTCTATTTCTTTTCAGAATGACATTTTCTAAATGTAGTACGGTGTTTCAATGGAAGAGTTCTTTTGATAATGATCTAGAAGAGTGATGCAAGTGCTGTTGCACACACTTGAGAATTATTGTTGACCTATTTATGATAGTCCACCTCCAGTGTCATCAGTCTTTTCAGTTCTTCTGTGTGAAATGTATGGAAACGTAGAACTTAAAGTGAGTCTCACTGAACTTTCCCACGCTTCTTTCTCTTTTCTGTGCCAGGGAAGGGAAGGATGAGAAAGAAGGTTATTTTACTGAAAATATAAGTTTTGAATTTGATTTTTGAAACAAGAATCTTCAACTCCTACTTCAAAGCATTACAAGAAACAAATAAAAGAAATGGTAGTTCTCTTGTCATCATTCAATCTGAAAAAGTGAAAAAAGATTTTGTAACTCCTCACTGAGGTGTAGATTTCCATTTTGTCAGCACTTCAGCACAAAGAACTTGCTGATGGTCCTCTTTCTCTCTGGTAGCAGCTAGCACTGCTGTGGAGTCAGTAGAAGCACCAGGGGAGTGTTCTGCTGTGCTTTCCATATTGAGAATCCCTTGCTGTTTTCAAGTGAGAAAATAAAGATTCGATTTCTATCTGATCCAAAAAGCCTCTTTAGAATGCCTTTACGTTTTACAGGTAGTAATTCTTATAACCATCGTTCTTAGCATTTAATTTTCTCCGTAGATGCTTTCTCAGTACACGATGCTTTCCTTCTGACCAATCTGCACAGCTAAACTGTCTTATGACCTGTTTATTTCGTTACAGAGGATGGCACATAGTGTAAAATTGCTGGACTGCATCTTTGTGCAGCTCACACAGCAGATGTATTTAAATGTCAAATCAATTTAAATGTTTTGTTTCTGAAATATCAGTGTTCTGTTTAAAAAATATGATGTACATAAACAAAATATTTGGATATTTGTGGACAGAATGTTTATACAACTGAACATGCTGGTGCTTCAACATTTCTACCTGGCTTTGTTTAAAGATGAAGGCTGAAAGACAAGGATTTCTGATGAAATGGAAGTTCCTGTCTAGTCACAGGTTACTCCAATGTTTATATCCAGAGAAGTCTCAGCTATATATCTGCTTGAACTTTTCTAATGACATTTTCTCTAACAATTGATTGTTACTTTTCCTTTCTGAATGTTGAAAACTATCGTGACTGACATATATTTTGAGATTTTTAGTTGAGTAAAAGGCTGGCTTTTTTTGGGCAACATCACTGTTTACAAAGGTGGCATTTTGTGATGTAGATACAGGTTCTGTCTAATAAGCTAAAATGCCTTCATAAGAAAATATTTAGGAACTTTAGTCTTTTTTTTTTTTCCAGTAACTTGAAAAATCTTCAAATGTATTTTAAGCAAATTGAGTGATTTAGATCTGTGAAATGGTCCTGGTAGGGAATTCAGCATACGTAAAGTCTTTTTAAAAATTTAGTGTGTATATATATATGTATGTATATAGAAAAGATGAAGGGGAGAGTAGGTGTCCAGATACTCAGATATAGGAGAGTTCCCTTAATTTCAAATAACCTGCCTCTAACATGTAAGAAAGTTGCTTTTCTTTTTTTCTTCTTCTTTTTTTTTCTTTTTTTTTTTTTTTTTTTTTTTTTCTTTTTTTTTTTTTTTTTTTTTTTTCTTTTTTTTTTTCTCTTTTTTTTTCTCTTTTTCTTTTTTTCAAATCTGGTGTTTCTGATGGAACTTAAGATAGCATTTTTATTTCTCTACCAGCATTGTGTGTGCTGTTCTTGATCTGTAAGTAATTTCATTAGCAAACTGCAGGAACTTGAATCTAGGGGATGGTGTTCAATGTTTTATGAGCCCTTGAAGATAGTACGTTTTCCCCTTTGACTTCTGCTGACACACTGGTAAAACAGGGTCTGATAAGGCCAGTTTGAAAGCCTACACAAAATGTTGACAAGATGTACTTCTTGATCCTCAACAGCCTTCTAAGGAGAGAAGCTGAGTTCTGTCAAGGTGCAGTGCCCAGCAGCTCTCAGCTGGTAACTGCTGCCATGGGGTCATAGGGAAGGGAGTCTTTCCTTCCTCATGCAACAGAGTAAGGGTGGCTTTGTAGGGAGAAGAGGGCAGGCAAGAGCTATTGCAACAGATGACCAAAGCGTGTAAGAAATTAACTTGGAGAGATTGAACAAAAACACAGCTCATTAAAATGGGAGAAGCAAACATAAATGAGTGGCATAGCAATGTTTTCTTACCGGTGTGGGAAGTTGTTAAAAATTGCCAAATGTAGTTTGATCTGTGAGATTTAGTTGATCCTTTAGATAAAGTGGGATTGTTATAAACATTGTAGGGAAAGGCTTTAATAGCTGGGCTATGCTGAGCATGAATTTTGTGTTACAGTGAAGGGCTTAACTTCTGTATTTCCTTCTTTTGTATTTCCCTATTTTTTTTTTTTTTAAATTGTTATCTTTTTTTTCCATTCTTTAAGTCCATATGCCCTTTGTTGAGATCACTTACTGTCTGTGCATCTTATCACTGCACTTTTTAAAGGACTTTTTTATTGCATTCTCTCCTAAACAGTCAGGTTTCTTGTTCCATTGCTATACAACGTAATATTTCTCCTTCAGGATTTTGTTTGTCATAGTGATTTCTAGGAACAAAGAACCACTGAGGCTAGTGATCAGGTGGGTTCTGTGAAACGTTTGAAGTCTCTGCTCAGTTCTTGATCTGACACTGTCATCTCATGATGATAAATCACTTATCCTCTCTGTGCTTTTCTTTATCTGTAAAATAGCACACATGATAGCATTTCTTACATGGTTTAAACTGATAGAAGTAAATTAAATATAGCTACATTTGTACTTTTTTTTTGTCATCAGGTTTCTGAATACATGGTTGCTGTTGCATAGTGGTAGTCTTAAGCACTCAGTTTTAGGTGGAACACATGAGAATTCTTTAATCCTCTTCAGGAAACGCGGCTTAAAAATTTGCTTTTCAGTATTTTTATCAGGAGTAAGTGGAACTAAAATGGGAATAAGGCAATTCATATATTCAGTTCATAAAAGAAAAATTGTACGTCTGTAGAAACCCTGGAGTTTCAGTAAAGGACTCCTAAGTAAAGTGCCTAAAACAATTTGTGGTGGTCTTCTTTTTCTGAGACATGTAGAGTGTAGTTCAAAACTTCAATAATCCAGTATTTCAATAATCCAGTATTTCTGGATTATTTTTGTCCAATAGGATGCCAACAGCCAGAAAGCTGTATGATTTTTTTTATTTTTTTGTGATTGTTGTTATTGTTGTGCTGGTTTGTTTCCTGTATTGTATTATTTGTACATAAAACTAAAGTGCTGATGATGAGAAGGATAAAATGTTTCTTTAATCAAAATGCCCACTGAAAAATAATTTTACAATGTGAGACTTTTCTTGTTACTTAGTTTAAATCATTTAATGTATTAGAATATAAAAGATCTTTTGAAGTTTTATATGAAGACATAAAATTGGCTGATCCTCCGAGTTTGCTTGCACAGCTATTTTTTTTTTCCCAGTGTAAGTTTAGTCAGAAGGATGTTTTGTCAAATGAATGCCAGAGATGAACGTTTAATTCTTGCATTGCATATGATCCATTTTATCCACCTTTGTGGATGCACACAAATCCATTTGGATCTTACTTATGGTTGTGATGTGAGGGGAGAAAGGGTATTTGGAACTCAGGAGTTCTGTTGGTTTGTTACTTTTGCAGTAATGTGTAACTGTTCTTTTTCCATGAGATTTAGTAATCTACATTACGTTTTCTGTTAGGGTGCAGCTTTTATTTTTAATTACACTAGGTGAGAAGGCCTATCTCTCACTGTTAAGAAAACAA